GCCTTCCGATCTGCAGGGTGGCAGTGGTGCCTTCGATGAATTCGGCGCGTCATGTAAGGGAATCGGGCTGACGCAGGACAACCACCGACGTGAATGTCAAGCTGTGAGAGGATAAGTCGTTCCTTACTATAATGCGTGTACACTGGCGACCGCATGAAGGATGGATGCAAGGCTGAGCGGTCACCATGAATTGGACTGACTTGCGACGAGAGGATGCTGCGAGGGATACCTAGGCTTGACCGTCCATATCATTGATCGATTGGTTGGTTTCTGCGAAGGTGTGTTGAAGTTGAATGAGACCGCCGACAAGATGATTTCCAGGGAATTAAAATTCCAGCAGCAGTTCGGCATCTCGGCTCGCGCTTCCGGCTCCGACTGGCGAATTCGGAAGAAAAACGCTAAGAGCGTGCGCAGGCAATACGACAGTTCAAAATAACTAATGATACAAGTACGGATTACTGTACGAGTTCGACAGGTTCAGAAATGATGATAAGAAGCGATTGTTGAGACGTACCAAAACAAAACAGATCAAATCTCTGCCCGCTGCGCCTCCCGGGCGGCTGCTTTTGCTCGTAAGTCCTCGATTTCCTGCGTCAACTTGACAATGTTTTCATCGAGGGCAGTTTTGTCGAAGATGGAGTACGGCTTGGGAGGGGGAGGTGCACTCCGCTCTCCAAACGCGGCATGCATAAACACGGCGCTCATGAGCTCGTGGTTGCGCTTGTAGCGAGTGAGCGCGAGTGCACGCGTCGAGATGAAGTCGAGGTCATCTGAGACGTGTCAGCGCGGATGAACGCACAGACTGCGCGCGCAACACTTACCTGCGGGATCTTCCTCGTCGAGACGAACGGGCGGCGGTGGCGGGGCGCGCTGGCTCATGCTGGCTTCGCGCTCGCGTGCAGCTCGGCGCTCGAGGGCCTCCATGTCTCTACTCTGGGCTGTTAGTTGGGCTGTGGCGTTCGGGGGTCCGATGGGGACCTTCTGGCCTGTCTTCTCGCCCATGACGAACATGGCGGGTTCGGTTATCGGGCGGAGCGGGTACGCGCGAACGGGTTGGGCGTGCAGCGCAGGGGGTATAGCTAAGCTAATGTCAGGTATGGAGATAAAAGGTGGCGATGAGGCAACGCACGGACTGCAGAGCCGCGCGAATAGTGCACGAGAACGAGTTGAGCATGACCGCCTTTGGAGAGACGGTAGCGGCGGCGGACACGCGACGCGGTGGTCTCGGGAGAGTTGGGCACAAACCCATAGCGCGCTTCAATAACCTCGAGCTCACGGCCGCCCGCAATGGGGATAGCGTAGCGTTGCTCCTGCTCGAGGAAACGGATGCCGTCGGGTGGGAAAGAGAACTGGGCAGGGATGAAGAGCAGGCAGAGCTGGCCGTCTGGGGGCTTGTCAATGTACGCCCACTGGTACGGAACCTGACCCGAGAGCTGAATGGCCCGCGTGAGCATCGTCACGGCGACTTCGTGCGTGAGTGTCGCATGCAGGGGGAGGTTTTCGGGGAAGCGGAGGCAGAGACCCTCCGCTTGCGCTTGTTGGGCGGTGATCATATCTCGAGACAGTTGTATTGCGTGCCCTTGAGATTCTCTCTAGAGCTGGAGAGTATGTATAGAAGAACCAGGACCAACGAGTTGCAAAGTCGAGCGAGGCAATGGTGAGCGTTGGGTGAGCGTTCAACGAACGCAAAGTCAGCTCGGAGCGTCCTGCTTATGTCAGCCAAGACGGCGTCCTTGGCGGCAAGGAGGACTCGCGCTTCACTTGTTTCCTTCCCCCTCATTCTGCATCTCGACATTCTATTTCTACTTCATTTTTGCGAGATAGTTGAACTTACGCGCGAGGTGGAAGACGCGAGGTGGCTGTCGGCGACTATAAGGTCCCCAAATAACGTGCGTATCAACGGGCACTCTCCGTTGCCGTCGCACTCATCTCTTCTGTACAGTCTTCTCCTTTCCGAGTCGTTTTTTTTCGACCCGGTCATCTCTGTACGACGCGTGAACTGATCAAGGAGAACCCTACTGCGCCACACAGTCAAAATGCAGCCCATCGGTCTGCGTCCACCTCTGCCATCCTATGGCCAAGGTCCCTCAATGTCGGCTCTTGCACAGCAGCAGCATATGCACCATCCCAACTTTGTACCCCCTCAAGCACACAAGATTGTCACACTTTTTATCGGCTCAATATCAGGTGGCATTACTGATGGTTATCTCAACTCCCTCCTCTCCGTGCGTCCTTATAAGTCTATATATATACCTCTTCCACATACTAAATGCACCGTCATTCAGGCGTGTGGAGTCGTAAGATCGTTCAAGCGGCTTATCACGCCTGCGAACAAGCCTCAGGGTTTTGGTTTTGCGGAGTATGAGGATCCAGACGGTGCGCTCAGAGCAATGGCGTTGCTGAACAACATTGAGTTGCCCGCTTTGGAGGACGGATGCGTGAATAAAAAATTACTGGTGCGTGGACTCTTTTTCGTCACCGGACTCGAATTTACCCTTGTTTTTCTGCAGGTCAAAGCTGATGAGAAGACCAAGATGTTCCTCGATGCATACTCTGCGCAGCGGATGCAGACAAATGTACGTCGTCACTTATAGCGTCAGGATTGTCTGAGGACTTAAGCTTCGCATGCATCTTACTGACAAACATAACCTGTATCAGAATGACGAAGAGGCGATGAAGCAAGCTCAAGCACGCGTCAAGGCCCTCGTCGATGACATCTTTCGCACTTCCCAAGAGGCATCTTCGAACGGTCTCCTTGACAAGGAAAAGTACGTGATCCCGCCACACCTCCACGACCTCCAGGAAGCGGACCTTCCGGAGACCCAGCGCGGGCTCGTCATTTCCGAGATCGCACAGTTCCGCGAGCGCGCCGCAAAGCGGGAACGAGAGAAAATGCGCGACGTCAAGAGCAACGCTACCGCTGCTGTACCTGCACCGAGCGGGCCGAAGGTGCGTGAGTGGGGCAAACCACAACAGGAGTCGTCTGGGCCAGGTGCGTTGGGCAAGGACGCGCAGGGTTATAGCAAGCCGGTGGGATTCGTAAAGGCAGACTCGCGCGAAGGCGGGGATGTGGAGGATCGGCGCGTCGACAAAACCAAGACAGACGAGGAGTTGGAGGCGGACAGGAAGGAGGCGCGGCGGAGAGACGAGGAGAACTCGTTTCGGGACCGGGAGCGGCGCTACGAACCACGGGAGCGCGCACGCATACAGGCACTCGAAAGGGCGATTGCGCGGGAGCGGGCGACGAAGGAGGCGGAGGAGCGGGACCGTACCGAGATGCGTGCGCGACTCGATATCTGGGACGACGACGAGAGCGACGAGCCTTTTTACACCGACCGGGCCCGCTGGCGATCGCAGCGCGCGCGGCGACTCGCCGCTGAAGAAGCTGCAGACTCGGAGTCGCGCGCATTCGAAGAACGCGAGGCGGAGAACCTGCGGCGCGAGTCCGAGGCGTTCCTCGCGCGGCAAATGGACGAGATGCAGGCGCTTGCGGAGGAGCAGCGCAAGGCCGGCATGCTACTCGACGATGGTGCGCCTGTGAAGCTCCACGTTTCGCTCGCTGCGACTGGGAGCAAGACGGAGGGTGCTCCAGCGAAGGAGAAGGCAACGACATTGTTTGGGAACGAGGAGGATGAAGAAGAGAGCATCAGGAAGCGGAAAGTGCCACTCGTGAAGCTAGACTTCAGTGCTTCCAACGATGGCGAGAAGGCCAAGGAAAGGTTGGAGAGGATCAAGACGTCGGTGCCGAAGGACCGAGAGACGTTGTTCAAGGCAAAGGTCCGGTGGGATGGAGTAACGGAAGTGAGTAGCTTCTGTTCTATGTCTGTTTTCGCTTCTGATCTTGCTGTAACCTAGGCCATGATCGACCGAAAGCTAGAGCCTCTGGTGAAACGGCTCATGGTCAAATACCTCGGCGAACTCGAGGATGACGACCTGGTCATGTTCGTCCTGGAGCATCTCAAGGACCACAAAAGCCCGAACAAGCTTGTCGAGGGCCTGGAACCGGTACGTCGACATTCTTCAGAGACGTTTTCGCTTATCGCTGATGTTGTGTACTTGCGTAGGTCCTTGAGGAAGAGGCCGTAGAACTAGCCATTGCGGTCTGGCGTCAGGTCATATTCGAGAGCATGGCGTATGGGGAGGGCATGCACACGGACCGTATGCTGGTCGATTGAAGGCGCTGACAGCCGGTTTGTCGCACCTCCATTCTTCGAGGAGGGGCAGGTGCGTGTGCGCGGCATCGGCTGTGGGAATGCGACTCATGGGCCATGTAAGATTTTCGATGATCAGTCTCAACTATATTACTGTCTCATTGCGGGAGGGGTGCTGTGCTGTGGACACTGCGTGAGTCGCACCCTTCGATCCGCCGTCATTGTGTAAAATGATTCTGTTACTCTTTGCTCTTTCTAATTTGCTGCTGCTGCTATCTCAATGGTCATCTTCGTTGCGTGCAGATGCACGATGGACATCGCTGAGTTCTTCTTTCATTTGTGTCTCGAGCGCATTGATCAGCTGTGTTGGAATTGTTCCAGTCGTAGGTTGATGCTTCTCCATGGTAGTATACGTCAAAACAAGCTATTTAGAACGGAGGTGAGTGCTATGTAATGGGTATTCACCTTGTCCGCGAGCACGTCACGGACCGGAAGGACTCCTGTGATCCGAGCGTTTGACCCTTATACTTTTTCAACTCTTGAGAGTGTACAGCGAAGACGTTGGTCGCGGTAGGGTCGTTCGAATGGCACTCACTAGTCAAGACACTAAACCAGAGCTCATGAATGGCCAGTCTCGCAGATACTCTCGTAGATTGTCTACAAAATCAATCACGTCAGGAGCTGCAATAAGTCTCTTGAAGCTACGAATGCTTCTGGCCCGTTCTGGAGATCAATACTACCCTTCGCGTAGTCTACTCGCGAGAAGTTTTACTGGTCTTCGTGCTTGATAACCTCTCTTAGTACTTACGCCTGCAGGTCGGAACGCTTGAAACCCTCATCCTTGTGGAAGGCAACATGGCCGAGCGGTCTAAGGCGCCAGAATCAGGATCTGGTCCGAAAGGGCGCGAGTTCGAATCTCGCTGTTGTCAAACGTTCCGCAACGCGACTTTTTTAATGGCCACAATGTCCCACGTTCTGTAGCTTCCTAGTAATTAGTTTTTTCTTGGTGATAGAACAGGATTCAATAGAGCACATGATTTTGTGATTGTGATTAGCCGGATTTTGCCGCAAGCTTTACAGGTTCAGTCCCAGTCAATATTCAGCAAATAAACACCCAGTTGAGAAGCTCCAAACTATCGGTAGTTGGCCACTCATAACAAAAAAAGATCTTTCGGTACTCGCGGTAATGACAACAGCGAGATTCGAACTCGCGCCCTTTCGGACCAGATCCTGATTCTGGCGCCTTAGACCGCTCGGCCATGTTGCCATTCTCGGACACGTTTGCCCTACCAATCACAAGGCGGTACCCATTATAAGGACTGTAAATATAAGTATATCCCAGATCAATCCTAAATCTGCCGGACCTGGAAACACTCCGCACCCAATTCCGGGGACACCCAGCCGCCAGACCACTTGTCTATTAGACAATTGGACTTATGGACTTTAAGACTTTGGGACTGTCGAAATTAGACTTTGAGACTGGTCGAAAAATGGACTTTGAGACTTCAAGACCCTCCACATGTGGCGCGGAACCCGGCGATCCTCCGCGATTCCGGCGAGAACGATGAGGTAAGCCCGGACGCGGCATCGTGGACAAGTCGTCGCGCACGACCGTGACGACGGGGACGTATTGCTCATCGTCGGACCCGTCAGTCACCGTTCTGTTTGACAAGGGATGTTGTACTTCATTTCAGATGTTTTTGAGCATTAATGAGGATTTTTATATCTGCTTCTTGGTCTCATTCACAAAATCCGAGAAAAAAGCAATATTTTCCAGCAGCCTAGTAGGTAATACAGAGCGACAATGGGTTCTGTGGGGGAGCCCAGGTTAAAGGAGCTCATTGGGAGCTCCTGGTCGATGGTGTGGGCTTGCATTCCATTCCTCCGTACATCTCCCCCAGCTCTCGTCCCTCCGCCGAGAACACATCACGGGGGATCTAGAAACATGCCAGTGCCGCGTCGCGCGGAGCTCACCGGAAATAATGGTGCCCAGAGCGGGGGGCGCGCCGGGGGGCCCCGAGAATGTGTCGGCATGGATCCTGTAGGCGGAGAGGCTTTTTTCCATCGGGATTCGACGTCGCAACGGCGAGCGGTAAGGCGGGGGATACGCGCGTAAGGTGGTGGAGGTAGTGGGAGGTGGAACGGGCGGGGCGGGGCGAGGCGCCGACGGCGCCGGCACGTCTGGAAATTAATTAGTCATCCGGGGCTCGCTCGGAGCACCGGGAGTCTCAAAAAGTCTATTTTCCTGATCTACGAGTCTATAATCCCGGCGGTCTCATTGTCCATTTGGACCGGTCTAATTGTCTAATAGATCGTGTCTTATTGTCTATTAGACGAACCGTCTGGCGTCCAGGTATTCTGCCAATTCCCACTTGCATGGATGCGCCCTAAGCCTGCGTCGCTTCAGTATTGCTTCAGTAGCATTCAAACAGTGCACTATGAAGAAGCACTTCCGTGCTAGTCCTCTCGCTGTAACTCCCCCTTCTGAAGAGGCTCTCTCGGAGTCGTAGAGAGAACGGCGGGCTGCTTTGCTCCAGCGTATAAAAGTGCGTGTCGTATCACCATGTTGATCGACAAACAAGCCTCTTTTTTCCGACGGAGCAACGTCGACGACAATCCCTTGCGCTGTGTGCGGTTTCCTTTTCTTTCAGTGCAGCCTACTTCTTACTCAAGCCCAATATGCCACCGGTCTGATCAGAACTGATGGCCACACCGCCGTCTACTCTCTTCGCGGCCGGGCACCGACCAAGGCCGACCGCATCAACAAGTGGTAGACAGCTCGACATTGGATACACTGACGAGATAGCACGGCATCGCACTAGTACAAACTCCCGCTGTCATGGCGTGCTCCAGCCTGCTGCGCCGCAGTGCACGAGATCGGCGTCACTGCTCAATACGAGTTTCTTATGGACACCTTGCTCTTATCAGATAAGTACTGAACGACTCATGACCGAACTTGATGTAACTTGAAGCTATGTATCTCAATTCAAAGTCCCGGCGCTCGAGCTAACCGCAGCAATTTGCGAGAGCTGAGCTGAATACTTTCGCCTCCAGGATAGAAGCACGCTCAGTCAAGTCATATCCAAAAGTACTCTCTAAAATGCCTCGGGCGAATGTCACCCCATCTCGACGGGAATCACCCCGCTGAATCCTCCTCCCGCTGCCGTTGCGTCCCCAGCTTCAGAGCCCAACGGGATAAAAGGGGTGCTGTCTTCCCTGTTCCACACGCAGTCACGGGGGCATTTATACGGACAGATCGTGGGCGCAGGTGGGTGTACAGACTTTACCCTCGACGGGCCACCGCCGCCACCGGCTGATCGAGTGTGACGTGCGCGCTGACTATGTCGAAGTCGAGTCAGGCGAGGGAGAGAAGGGGCAGATAGAAGCTTAGGTGACTTCGGATGTGCCAAGGGTCCCTCGAACTGTGGGGCGTGAAAGTCGATGGGAGAGACGGGGCGATACACTATAGGAAAGGGAAATGCGCTTGAGAGATAACGCGGCCATGAATGTTTACTACCAGCGAAGTAGGAGGACCCATCTTGTGTTCATGCGCAGCATATCCACCCGTCTACTCGCCTATGAATCCCGTAGCCTCCTCGCCTTGTATTGAAAACATGACCATCCCCAATTCCCCCGTGAATCCGTGTGCTGTCGGATCTATGAGCTCAGAGAACGATTCTTCAGAAGAAAGCGGTGCGCAGCAGTGATTTAGATATTGTTGTCGATCCGGTATCACATGTGGTGACTCGTACGCGCGTCCATGACTCGTCGACGCGCGTCTCTGGACGCGCAAGCTCTCGAGATCTGGATCGAGAACTACCTATATATACTGCCAATTCAGAGTCAAGCACAGTCACCCAGACCCTCTCCTCCCGAAAATCATCTTCGATTATTCGCTCTCGCACCTATCGCCACCATGCCTCAGATGAGCAGCACGCCGATGTTGACGAGCTTCCCCGAGCCGTCCAAAACACCTCCTCCGCCCTCAGGCTCTGGGGAGGGGAAGCCGGGGAAAATGACCACATTGCTGTCGTCGTTGTTCCGCAAGCGTTCGAAGGAGCATACGTATGACCGTGTTGATGACGCGCGTGAGTAGGCAATATTACTTGCCTCTTCCCTGCGCCGTACTGACCGTCGATGATCTTTAGAGGGGAGCGAGCAGAATATCCAAAAGCCAGCGGTGGGTGATACTTGAAACTGGTGGGGGGATACGGACGAGGCTAGCAGCGAGCGTTGGCTCCGGGCGAGAGATGTATTGGGTCAGGATCCGACGTCGAGGATGTTGACAAGGGGTGCGCAGTTTCGAGAAGTAGAGAACCACGAAATTGGAATACCTAGCAGGCGGCCAGGAAGGCCTTCGTGCGCAGTTCGAACCTTGAAAGTCAAACGCATGATCGGTACCGACAAACGTGAGGCACACGGTGTTCGCGCCGTTTCAAACGTGATTCGCGATCTGGGGCGGAGCTTGACGACGATATAAAGCGCGTGGAGTTCGGCTTCTTGAATACATTGCGACATCGAACACGACAAGGGCATAACGAGTCGGGGCCGCTGAGAACCTAGACAACCTAGAAAATTTCCAGGAAGCATGATTTACATAAACAAGCAATAGACTGCGAGACTTTTACAGACACTTCCTATAAGATTCACCCGTCTTACCGTGACTCACTGAACCTTGCGGCACCCGGCGCTTCCAAAAACGCCTTCGTGCGGGAGGAGTCCAGGTACAAATATGCTGCGCTCAGGCTGGAGCATATCCGCTGTGGCCAGGAACAATACCTGCTACGGGCCCGCCCTTGCCGAACATCGCGCGCACGTCGCCCACCAGAAACTCTGGCTTTTCGTGGGCGGCGAAGTGCCCCCCGCTTGGATGTCTAGCTTCGAACACCACGTTCCCCGTGGCACGGATCCAGCTGTTCGCAACGCGCGATCAGATGGCGTCTTCGGCAATCGAACAAACGTGCAGACTCACGTGTGGGGTGCAAGGACGATCTCCTTCGGGAAGTAGGACACGCCGATGGGGATAGATGCCACAGGCAACTTGCCGCCGAACTCGCCGGTCCTGGCTAGCTCGTAGTAGATGCGCAGCGACGCCGCGGGGCCGGCGCGCGAGAACCAGTAGATTGAGAGCCAGGTGAGCACTGAGACATGTCTCCATTTAATCCGCGTCAGCGACAAAGAGTGGGGTACGCACCTTCGTCGTCTTGCCATGGGTAGTCATCACTCCACACTAAGAGCTTCTCGTAAACCCATGCAAGGAGCCCCGCGGGCGAGTCGGCTAGGCCGTAGCCTAGAGTCTGGGGGCGCGTGGTCTGGATTCCGGCGTACCCCAAGCCCATGGACCGAGATTCTACGCTACGTGCGAGACCGGCGAGCTCCTCCGGGGTGTATGGCGTCAGAAGGTGCGCGATGTACTGGCGTGGAGCCTGCAGGAAAGTGGGCGGTGGTGCACTGAGCAATGCGATGAGTATGACGACGCACAGGTTGTGCAGAGCGCTCACACAGCGAAATTTGTATGGGATGCTTTGACGTGTTTGGGGCCATGAGCAAAGCTCAGGATGCGCGTGAGCTAGGGACATCATCGGTCAGTACGACCACAGTCGGCAAAGTGAATATACAGACGAAGTGGCCCCAGTCACCGCCTTGGGTCACGTACTCAGGATATCCGAGGGAAATCATGAGTTTGTTGAGAACCTGAAAGCGTTCAATATGTGTTTCACTTCTCGCGGGTTACATAGAGAGGAATACCTCCACGTAGTGCTTCCCATGGAAGCCCTTCTTGTGTGGACCTTCAGAAAAACCAAATCCGGGTAGACTTGGTGCGACTACATGAAAGCTCGGAAAGTCGGGGGAGGAAGCCGTCAAGAGGGGCAGGATCTTCTGGACCTCCATGATGCTGCCAGGCCCTGCAGGAATCGTCAATTTCAAG